TTCGTTTGTCATAACCCCATTGAATGGTGCACCTGAAAGGATGCATTTTTGTATGTAAATTATACGTCAATATATAGTTAAAAAGAAAAATAAACCAGATCCTATGCTTGGCTGAGGGGCTGTATAGTAACAAAAAATAACATTACCTTATAATTGAAGGACAATCTTAACTTTGAAAACATATTTTAAAAAAAGTTTGTAAAAATACAGAATTAAAATTAGAAGAGACCAATGAGTATTTAAAATGTAATAGACAACTCAAATTATGCTTATGTAGGCATACAGTTTTCCAAAAGGGTAGATGAGAATGTGTTAACAGATTGCTTTGGGACTGAGAGTGATTGGAAGAGGTAGAGGTCTTAGAGAGAGACTTTTTTTTTTTTTTTAATTTATGCTTTTTCAGTGCCATTTAACATTTTAAATTATGAGTATATTACATATCCCCTCAAATTAAATGAAAATGTAACAAAAATCAGACTTCATTTAAAAATAAAAATTAAAGTTGTTATATTCATCTGCTGTCGAGGAAGTTTTTTACTTAAAAAATTTTTAAAGCATCTGCTATAATAAAAAGGTGAGAAGAAAGCCATTCTTACATTTCAGCTTTACTTGTAGACTAGTGTATTATCTGTCAAAAGCCCTTAAAGCAACTCAACCTTTGTTAATATACACGAAGAAATTGGATGTATGGACTAAGGAAGACATCTATAAAATGTTTATCACAGCGTATTTCACAAAATCATAAGTACAGGTCGAATGTTCAAGAGTAAGGTCATTTGTTAAGCAAATTTGGTAGTCCAACATATAAGGTAAAATAATATGTTGCCACATAAATGATATCATACATAAAATATTTACATTATATTAATATTTTATAAGCCAGATTATGGCATCATATAATGAGAATGACCATATAGTGTGTTATTCATAAGAGTACAATTTCAGAATGAATGGGGGAGCTGAAATAATTAAAACTATTTAATTTTCAGAGTATTTAATCACCGACAAATTGGTTTTATTTTATTGGGTATCCTGTAAAGTAATTCTGCTGTAAACCTATATTCTAAAATGAAATTATTAAAAACATATATTCTTGTGTATTTATCTAAATTTGAAATTATTGGCACTTTCAATTGACTCTTGCATGCTTTTATTAGAGAAGGTATTCTCCCTACAGTTGCTCAGAGCAAATTCTGCTTAATTGCAGGATATTCTCAATTCTAAATTTCTGCATATTAAAACGTTTAAATATTTCAGACCAGATATTGTTACAAATGCCATTCTTTTGCTTTCATTCAGAATACCTTCTACAAATCCGAGATATTTTTACATTGACTTTTATTTGTAATTATTTTAAGTAATCTTCCAGTTTAGATGACACAGAATTATATAGCTTCTCAATTTCATTCCATTGAAGTATACAGTGTAAATAAATCTAATTGAAAATAGGAACTCCATCAAACCATTATTCCTACAAATGAAGATACTTCAACTTAAGCTTACACATTGAATGCTTTAATTTCTTTAGTTCGTTCCTTGCTTTTGTTGGAGTGTATTTCAGTATCAGCCTGTTTGCAAGCTTTGTTTCCAATAATTGCAGTTTCCTGAAAGCTTTACTCCATTCTTTCAATACATTGATTAAATATATTCAACTGACTTTCAACAAAATGCAAATCAAAATATAGAAGAGTCATTATCAAAACAATTTAATATGATTGTAGAATGCTTAGGTTGATTTACTGTCAAGAGTTTACCAAACATTTTTAGAGTCTTTCCTTTTGCTGGTGGTCAGGTAAGAGAAACATCATATGTTTTGCTTGCTTGTTTTTGTTTTCTGGTATTCCTTGCAAATTTTTTGTTACTCAGGTTCTCTGAGTATGTATGTAAATTTCAGTATCCAGACGTTTTACTTTGATCAGTTGAAAAAAACAAAACATGAATTTGCATGAAATTATGATCCGGTTATTTTTTGGCAGCTCATCATCATTTTAAGTTGGAATATTTTTGTCCTCAGCAGCATTATATCTTGTTCTTAGGAATTTTCTTATTTTTCTGAGTTGCTAGGATATATGTAAGTATCAAATTTAATATTTTAGATTCTTCCTGTGACATGATGTAAAAAATGTAAAAACTTTGTTTAGAATTTAGTATTTTGAAAAGTGTTCCTTTTTGACTTTTGGCTAGAAGTTCTTTTTATAGAGAATGGCAAACTGTTACTTCCTAAGTTTTGTTTTTATAGTTGACCACACTGTAATTCATCCACTATGCTGAAACCTAGTTAATCTTTCTAAATGGTATGCTTTATTCCTTAAGTATGTTATAATCTTTAAAGTTATTCGTGACTTTCCATCACACTTAACGACTAAAATTTTACCATGGCCTACAAAATTATTACATAGTCCAGATTATACCTTGCTTTTTAACCTCATCCTGTGTCATTCACTTCCCCTTACTTTCTGAACTCTAGCCAAACTAGCCTCCTTCCTTTCCCTCAAGGCCATTACATTTGCTGTTTCCCTTACTGGGAATTCTGTTTTTCCAGATCTTTTCATTACTGGCTCCTCATCATTCAGGTCTCAGTTCAAATCACATCATTTTAGAAACATTTTCTCTGAACATAATATGTAAAGAGCCTTTTTTCTAACTCACTCTCTATCCCTAGTACTCAATATTCTATTTTTCCTTTTTAATTTTCTTCATAGCAACTATTGCTATTTAAAATGATCTTATTTATTGTAGGAGCAGGAATAGTATATGTCAGGTTCACCACTCTCTCACAGCATAGTAAACACTTACATTTGTGAAATGAATGACTGTCTTATGTAGTTACTATATCCATATTTATTCTCTGATTCTCACTTCTAGCTATAAAATATCTTAGTGGTATTTGCCTTCCATATTTTCAGACAATTTAAAAATAGCTCTAAACAAGGAACTTTACGCAAGGTTGTCATATGTTCTTACATTTATTTTAATGTTTTCTAAACACAAATAAAATATAAGATGTGGAATTGACAGAGTACAAGTGAAGATAAGATGAGAAAAAATATGTATAAATACATATGTTTTTTGAGACGGAGTTTCGCTCTTCTTGCCCAAGCTAGAGTGCAATGGCGCAATCTCAGCTCATGGCAACCTCCGCCTTCCGGGTTCAAATGATTCTCCTGCTTCAGCCTCCCGAGTAGCTGGGATTATAGGCGCCTGCCGCCATGCCCAGCTAATTTTTTTGTATTTTTGGTAGAAATGGGGTTTCACCCTGTTAGTCAGGCTGGTCTTGAAATCAGGTAATCTGCCTGCCTCGGTCTCCCAAAGTGCTGGGATTACTGGCGTGAGCCACCCCACCTGGCAAAAATATTTATATTTATACTTCTCCCTTTAGATCCTAGAGAATGGTCTAGAGTTCTTGTAGGAATAATCTAGGAACTCTGCTGCTTGAGCAATCTAGACTTCCAGTTCCAACCATGAAATACCTTTTATCAGACTACCCTCCTACCAAAAGCAGTCATGAAAGCTAGACAAAATATGTAAAACCAAATGGTTTGAAGACACTGAAATGCAATTAACTCAGGTAGAACTTGAGGGGCTATGATCCTAAGGTCGTCGCCATGTAAACATTGGCTTTTTCCCTGAGGATATGTTCTAAATCATGTTCAGAGCAATAGAGGCCATATCTAAAGGGGCAGTCATTTCGGGCAGAGGAGACAATGGTCAGGCCCTGGAGCTGCTAAAATGACTGAAACATAGGGACAAAATCTCATATGGAAAGAAATTGCAGAGGAAAAGCCCAAAATTTATGGACAAATTTCCCTCAAATCGTTGGTGATTCTATAACCACATATATAGGGCAAACAAGACTCAAAGAAACCCAGCAGAAAATAGCAGAAGGAAATTAAAGGGCTAAGGAGAAAATTTAACAGCCACATGATAGTGGGGAAACAGGTTAGGCTGCTTAGGTGCCCTTGGTAAATACCCCTGGCTTCCAACTGAAATTCCCAGGTCCATTTCTGGAAGTTGGGGTAAAAACGGAAATGGACTGGCTTTAACAAAGCCTAAAACACAATATAGTCTGCGTTTACTCAGTCTGTGTTTAGAAATTTAACCTTTTTAGAAGATAATGGAATTCAAAGCCTCTACAATTTTTCATTTATGTAGTCTGGCCTCAAATAAAAAATTACTGAACAGGTTAAAAAAAGAAAATGCAAGAGCATATTCTAGAGATTATATCTGCACAAATGAAATGTTTATGAGATTATTCACTGAAAAATGTTCATGATAACAAAATATTGGAAATAGCCCAAGGGACCATCATTAGGGAATTTATTAGACAAATTGTGTATGTTTATATAATATATTAATTTTCACACAGGCACTATCATCATTTGGTGCAAACCAGTTCTTTATTGTATGATACTGTCCCAATCATTTGCTACAGGGCAGTTTGTAACTTTGGACCTGGCACAATAAGTGGAGGTTGCACATTCAAGTTTTGAGACAACTCAAAATGCTGCCACACATTTTCATGTGCCTCTAGGGTGGGGCATTCCACTTGAGAATCATTAATATTATGGAATTCTGTAAAACTGTAAAAAAAAAAAACGAGAAAACTGTTTGTGAACTGATACGGAAAGACCACCAACTTGCTATGTTTTGTTTAAGAAAGGAGGACAGTGAGAATATATATTTGGATTGCCTACATTTGCATAAAACATTCTGTAGTCATACGTAAGAAAGGAATGAAAGTGATTTTCTTTGGGGCCTGGTGAGGTGAATGGAGATGAGAATGGGTGAAATATATTTACTGGATTTTAAAAATACTGTTTTAATTTTTAGAACATGGATTTATTACCTATTTAAATTTTTAATGCAATTTTAGATATAAATAAGCTATTGTGTCAGATATAATAATTTCTAAGAGATCTATTTAAAATTTACATATTCATTAAACAAATGTTTTGGTCTTTTCCCAATCCTGTCTCCTTTTACTTTTCCTTTTCATTCAGTGGAGTAGGGCGAAACTGGGGCTGGGCATCTGCAGGTAGCAGCATTCTGGCTGAATTTGGTACACTACATATGGAGTTCATCCACCTCAGCTACTTGACAGGGGACCTGATTTACTACAAAAAGGTTTGTTTTCTTGCCTTCTTTTCTTTGTTTGTTATAAAGAGTCCTTCAAAATTGGCCCAAAGATTTGATTAATGCTTAAAATGTTTGCCTTTCTAGATATATGTTTATTAGGGCTTTAGCCTTTATATTCTCTTTTGAAGTTACTCAAAGAAATGTCCTTTCTATTTAGGACATATTTAAAATATTTATTGTTATTTGAGAAGTTATAACTACTATTACATTTTTTAAAAATTTCATTGCTATTTTTATGCAGCATTGTGCTGCAGTACCTAGCCAGCCTGGTAAGACAAGAAAGACAAAATATGTTCTGTCTTTGTCCAGATGTTTAAGAACTGAAAAGGAAGAAAGAAAATAGTAGTTATTCACAGATTACGTGATTATTGACCTATTAGAAATAAGAGTTTAATATGTTTTTTAAATAGATGATCAATATGGATGTTAAAAATCAGTAGTATTTCTCTACACCAGCTACAAAAGGCAAGAAAATGTCATTTTGCAAAAAGATACCTTATGTAATAGAGCAAGAGTATATATGTTTCCTACAAATAAATCTAACAAAAGATAAAGTTCAAATTTTTACTCAGCCATGAAAAAGAATGAAATCCTTTCCTTTGCAGGAATATGGATGGCACTGCTGGGGGACGTTATGTTAAGTGAAATAAGCCAGGCACAGAAAGACACATATTATATGTTTCATTCATATGTGGGAGCTAAAAAAAATTGATGTCTTGGAAGTAGAGAATAGAATGATGGTTATCAGAGGCTTGGAAGGGTAGTGAGGAGAGAAGGATAAAAAGGGATTTTTTAATGGGTACAAAAGTGCAGTTACACAGAATGAATAAGATCTAATGTTTGATAGCACAATAGAGTGACTCTAACAATGATTTGTTGTATATTTCAAAATAGCTAGAAGAGAAGATGTAGAATATTTCCAACAGAAGAAATGATAAATGTTTGAAGTAATGGGCATTTCAGTTACTCAGATTTTATCATGACCTGTTATATGCTAGTATCAAAATATGTACAACTCTTTCATGCCCATAAAAATTAAAAATTAAAATTTAAAAATACAAAACTTTATTAAATGACATTGAAGAGGATATAAATAAATGGAGGGATATCATATTTATGTATAGGTAAACAATATCATAAAAATTTCAGTCATCCCCAAATTTGTAGCATAAATTCAGTGCCAGTGAAATCTCTAATGGCCGTTTTCCTCCCAATGGAGCTTGAAAAGACACTTCTAGAATTTATACGGTAAAGAAACATTCTAGACACTTGTGAGGAAAAACACCCTGGCTGGATTTACATTGCCCAATTATCAACATTGACAGTGTAGTATTTGTTAATAGGGGCAAACAGATGAACAGAATAGATAGCCTTTAAACAGACCTACATATATGTAGAAACTTGTTATAACAAGTGTTGCACTGTGGATTATAATAGTTAATTCCAGGAACATTAAAGGCTTAACTTTAAAAAATAAAACACTGACATTTTGAGAATAAAAAATATATGCCCTTGGGGTAAAAAGGATTTTTACAATGGGAAACAAAAAATATTACCTAGTAAAAATACCCTATAACCCAGCAATTCCATTATTTGGTATGTACATTTACATTATATACATAGAAGCATTGTTTGTATTGGCAGTTTATATAATAAAATACAAAACAGCAATGAAAATATGAATTATGTTTGTATCCATTAGTTAAAAGAATATGATACAATTTTTGTAAAGTTCAAAACAAAGCTGAACAGTATATTGCTTAGGGATTCAAAATAGTTTTGATAAATTGTTGAAGTAAAAATAACATACAGAGATGAATCTCTGAATTAAATGTTTTATTTGGAAGCACAGAATTCCAATTCAGGGCATACACACAGAGTAGGGTGGTTGGTCCTCAATCCATCCAGAAAACAAAGAGAAGGTTGGAAGTTTTATTAGAGGAGAAATGTTATATATCGTTTTGAAAGGAAGTGTGTTGACACGAGTAAAGCTTCTAGAAGCTGTCTGGCCCTGATTGGTGACAGCAGTAGGTAAAACTATAATGTTAGGGTTATAGCAGCTGAGCTTGTGGAAAACGTAATTTTTGGAGCCAGTATTATGTGCCACAGGTGATTTTCCGCTGGGCCCTTTGACTCTGAATTAGTTTGGTATGACGGGAATGACCCAATTCATATAGTTTGCTTTGACAAAGTCAAGATAATGACAAATATGAAACTCAAGACTACAGATACATCTGGGATATAGGCAGTAGTATGTGAATGGGCAGTGGTAAACAGACCATCAAAGATGCTTGTAGTGTTGTATTTCTTAAATTGACATGTGAGTAGAGTTGAGATATATATGTATATTCCTTTCTGTTTATGAAATACTTCAACAGAGAAGAATTTTCAGGTAAATACAGCAAAACGGAACTAGATGACAGAATTTTCCCTGTCCTGATAAATGAATAATAAAAAAAAATAAAGACAGTAAAAATTCATCAAAAGCAATAAAAGAAGGAAAAGATGTAACTTCATGTCATATTTGATAACCAAAATAAAAAAACAAAAACAAAAAGATTTCTAATTTCTGGCATGAGACATAAGTCTGCTCCCTACCCTATCCTGAAACCTTTTTGGGAAAAGAGAGTCAACAAATTCCTAGTATTCCCTATCAGTCTTGCCAAGGAGGCCAGTGCCCAGAGCATCACATATTTAATTGTCCACAGCTCCAGCAGAGTTCTCACCTCTCATCCTTCTTGAACACATAGGCTTCAAGTGATCAGATAGAAGTACACTAGTACTCCAGATCTCAAATTGTATCGAGGAAGGGAGAAACACACACACACACACACACACACACACACACACACACACACACACGAAGAACTCAAGGAGAAATTAAAAAGTTCAGGCCAGAACTGACCCTTTTAAATGTGAACAATATAAAACAGAAAGCATGGCAATTGTGCAAACATACTGCTGGAAACAAAAGCGGAGTGGTATATAGCATGTAAAAGACTGATAAAGAATCCAGTTTCAAATTTTTAAAACAGTAAAAAAAAAAAAAAAAGTCACCATGAGTAATTCATACTATAATAGAAATTAAATTTAACACAACTCAAAACCAAAATAAAACAATAAAATGATACAAAAATATTGTGGAGCTAAAGAAACAAATGGAGACTTAAAATGATGTATCCCCTAGCTAATAAAATGGGAAATAACAAAGAACTCATTGCATATAGTGAAAAACTGAATTACTTACATGGAATAAAAGCAAGAGATAGTCATAGACAAAACAAAGGAAAAGCAGAGATTAAAAAGATAATAAATTTGTAAAATAAACATAATTTAACATATGGTCCTTCTTGAAGTAGAAAACCTAAATCATAAGAATTAACCTAAAAGCAGCAAGAAGAAACACTGCTGGGCACAGTGGTTCACATATGTAATCCCAGCACTTTGGGAGGCCAAGGTGGGTGGATTGCTTGAGCTCAGGAGTTCGAGACAAGCCTGGGCAACATGGTGAAACCACTTCTCTACCAAAAATTAGCCCTGTGTGATGGCGCATGCCCGTACTCCTCAGCTACTCGGGAGGCTGAGGTGGGAGGATCACTCAAGCTTGGGAAGCGGAGGTTGCAATGAACTGAGATTGAGCCATTGGACTCCAGCCTGGGCGACAGAGCAAGACTCTGTCAAAAAACAAACAAACAAACAAACAAAAAAACTGCAAATTCCATGTTTAACAAAATTAAGAGATACTTCATACCACCAAATAGGAAGAAAAGTAGGCATATAAGCAGTAAAGATCAGAGAGAGGTTTGGTATAAACAGAAGAGAGGATGTTTGGGGCTGCAGACTACAAAATACAAAACCAGTAGAGCACAGTTCTCTGAATTAGGTGGTGTAACTTGACATACAGAACTCAAATTCTCATGAGCAGCAATGAGAACAGGATCACAGGCTGATGGGGTGTACTTCTTTGGACCTTACTAAACATAATGTGTTGAGAAGCTGGAAAAACAGAAGTCAGTAAGGATTCTCACAGATAAGCTGTTTGCGCCTGCGGACTTTGATGAGAGAAGGGAATGAACGACAGATTCACTATTGTGAGCAGTGCTGCATTTCCAATCTCAAGTGGCTGGGGAGAAGCAAAGTCTAAAAAAACGTATTTATATCTGGACTCTTACCTGGTGTTTTATGTCAAAACTTTCGGGAAAATAGTAATGAGTAATTTGTTAAAAAAGAACAGGTACAGAATTTATACAAAGATATTACCAGAAAAAAGGAAAGAAAATGGTGGCCACAAAATATGTAAAAAGAGCAACTGAAAATTCCGACCAAATATCACCATGAGAGAAAACATAATAAAGATTTCATCTCTGTAGAACAAGTATATAAACAGAGATACAATTGCTCAGAGACAATAAGATCTCATGTCAGTAACAAAATATAAGAAAAAATAGTTATCAACAAAATGAAGGCCAAAATGGAAGCAATACAAAGAAAGACAGTGTTCAAAATATAAGGCGCTTAGATGACAAAAGTGAGAAAAACTAGTAAATGTGTGGAAATAAAAAGAGACAAGAGTTAGAAAGAAAATGACAGATAAGGAAGAAAGGCGGAAATAATTGAATAGTATACAGTTTTTGGATGACAGAAGAGTTAATTTTCTCCCCTTTTATAACATCATTCAGAACTATCTAAAAAGTAGTCTGTGGAATTTTTCAGATTGAGATTGTTATACATAGTGTTGGTCTCAAACGTGAAAGAACACAGGGAATACAGACAGCATCCTTGAGTCCATTCCTAAAACTACTTAAAGACAAAATCCAGCCAAATGAATGACAATGGGAAACCTTGTGGCAGAAGAATTAATATTGTACTCAAGTCCAGAAAAGTGAAGTATATATCAGGTCCTCTGAAAAAGAAGGGTTTTCCCAAGTCATTTATACCAGCCAGGTTATTCATCAAATGTAATGACAATATTCTCAAACAAAGAGGAATACAAGGAACATAACACCTCCTCCCACCCCCAGAGGCTCCCTTAAAAGCACTTACAAAGTTCACCCAATCTAGAGTTGAATCAAAATAAATCCCTAGGAAAGTCTCCGGCTTCTTAATATATTTCATGATTTTTCTTTCCCCATTACCCTCAGGAAGATATTTTAAAATTTGGAATTTCAGGAACTTAAAGATATCTATTGTGGGAACAATTTTTAAAGTTCAGCAGTTTGTTTTACTTCATTTACTTTTTGATCTGTTCAATTCAAATTAATACTTTTCAAAATACAATGGCATTTTATGATTCAATTCCCGTGAAGTTATTTCTGTTCTTATGTTTGAATATATACATGTTGACTGTGTCTGGAATGATGTTTATAACTGATGTTTCAGATGATATTTCTAGGCAGTAGCATGTTGAGATTTAAAATGGTTTCTATCTGTGTTATTTCCTCTGTATTATTTTTATTGCTTGATTTTAAAATAACACATATCTTATAAAAATGACTCATTTAAGAAATAGAAGGCTTTATTGACTCCCCCCTGCCCCTCCAGCACACACACAAAGGCAGGGAATAGGTATAGACTCTGAGTAAGGAAAAACACAAAGCCTACATTAACACCAAGCCTTGATGACACTTCTTTTATTAATTGCATTCTTAATTTTATTTTACTTAGGTTATGCACATTCGGAAACTACTTCAGAAAATGGATCGTCCAAATGGTCTTTATCCAAATTATTTGAACCCCAGGACAGGGCGCTGGGGTCAGTGTAAGTATTCTAGTATACCTGAGGCTTTCTTAAAGAATTATTTGTCTAAAAACTCTTTGCTTGATGTAGTACAAAGTACACTACGTGGAGTTAGAAACCCTCAGTGTCTAGCCTTGTGGTCTACTGGTGCTGTTCTTAGCCATATTTCTTATCTCTCTTAGCTTCAGTTTTCCCACTTGTGAAATGGAAATGTTAATAACATGTCTCCTAAGAGTATTTTATTTCCTGTATTGCTAAAATATAGTGTGGCAGTTTGAAGGTTGTACTTAAAAACTCTTATTAATAAATTACCTCTTCATGTAAATAAAAGCACCGCTTAAGAGAGAGAGGTAGAGGAGGAGTATGAAAAGCAAACGAATATAGTAGATTACTAGAAGCGGGGCAGTTGTTCGAGTATGAAAAGCAAACGAATATAGTAGATTACTAGAAGCGGGGCAGTTGTTCTTGGATAAGCCATGTCTATTCATTCATTTTAGAAGAAGGCATCCTGGCCTTCATTATTTACCAGTCTCTGTGCTAAGTTCTTAGAAGAGATTGAGATGGAGAAAGAACATAGGGTTTGGCCTGAATTCACAGGCTGGCAGGATAGGCCGACACATAAATGTTATTGTATAGGAAGGTACCAATTGTTACATGAAACTGTAGGAAAAATGATTCCCTCTGCCTGAGGGGAAAGTATTTTGTTTAGGGAGAGGGTAAGTTTTCTTATTAGAGCTCATTTATTTTTGAAGAAATTGATTTTTAAAAGTAACAACTAATAAATATTTATGTGGAAATGTGGAACTTACAGAATTTTAGTAATTGTAGGTTTATCAATGCTATTCTTTTTTAAAGGTTAGGAAAACAAGAACAAATAATAGAGACTGCAACTTTGCCACTAACAAAACACGATTCAGTTATTTTTGAGACTAATAAAATCCGAAGTAGTAAATAAGAGACAAAAGTAATGATCGTTTAATTTTAGTATTGAAAGCACTGCTGATTCTGCCAGTAAGAAAATATGCTGGTGTGAGTACCCAGAATAGGAAAACATTTGCCCTGGAATTGTCTTTTCGTTCCTTTCCAGGAAATTGTCTTTTATTTTATGAAAGGAAAGCAGATAGGTCAATATAATTATGTCTTTCATGAATCTGGAAATAGATCTCAATCTTTTTTGACTATTTTTATACTTACTTTTCCTGTTTCCTGAAATTATTTACATATGATTCATTTTTCTATTTATTTTGAAGAAGATAAAAGCTCTACTGCCTAGAATGAGTGGGAATGATATTTTTTGGAAAAACAAAACCCTGAGAGCTGCATTTCTAAAATGTAAAACCATAGTTTTCTTATTTCAGATAAGAGTGACTGAATTGGATGTCTACTTAGTAATTTCGATGAATTCTATTATCAATCTTTACCCCTGTGAGTTGTATTGAGATTTGAGAATATTATGATAATATGATGATATAATGTATATGAAAAATTATGTTCAGTTCCTGTCTTAGACTATATGCCAGTGTATATTCTATATGGTTTTACTATTTAAATGTAAAAGATGAAATCATAAAAGTACTAAAAACAGGGTTGAATATATAATCAGGAAAGCCTTTTCTAAGCATGTCACATAAAACAGAAACTACAAAAAAAGGTGTCAGTTTTTCCTGTATATTATTGTTAACCTCTGTATTAGTCTGTTCTCATGCTGCTGTAAAGTACTGCCTGAGACTGGGTAATTTATAAAAGATAGAGGTTTAATTGACTCACAGTTCCACAGGGCTGGGGAAGCCTCAGGAAACTTACAATTATGGCAGAAGGGGAAGCAAACACATCCCTCTTCACATGGTGGCAGGAAGGAGAAGTGCCAAGCAAAGTGGGGAAAAGCCCCTTATCAAACCGTCAGATCTTGGGAGAACTCACTCACTATCAAGAGAACAGCATGGGGGTAAAACATCTTCCTGTACCCAGTCTCCAGAGTGTGTACATTTGTATGCTTTTTGAACCACCAACTCATTTCCAGCAGTTTATTCCAAATAAATTTTCAGAGCTGTATATTAAAGTTTATTTACAACAGTCTTGGGGTTGTTTATAATAGGGATAATTTGGAAACAATCTGAAGCAGTCCTAACAGAACTTTCTGTAATGAGGAAAAGATTCTATTATCTGTGTTATCCAATATAGTAGTCACTAGCCACATGTGACTGTTGAGCACTTGAAATGTTGCTAGTATGGTTGTGGAATTACATATTAAATTTTACTTTAACTTACATTTAATTAGCTACTTGTAGCTTGTGCTTCTACATTGGACAGGGCAGTTTTTAAATGTCTTACATAGGGGTTTGGTTAAATACATTTTGGCCTGTCCAGATACAGTATACTATTAGCCATTAAAAGTTATATTTTAGAATACCTGACATAGATAAATATGACATATCTAGAAAGATATTTAGAAAAGGAGAGGAAACACTATAACAATAGAAACCAAAGTGTTATGTGTGATTTTCTCTGAATTATTGTTTTTATTTTCTCCTTTTCATTTACTGTTACTATCCAAATTTGATTATGAACATCTCTTACTTTTGATGTTAGCTTAAAAACATTTTTAAATAAAAAGAGAATCCCATTTTCCATGCCAGCATAAGGATACTTAAAAAAGTAAATCACCGTTTGGGAATTGCCAGCCTTGAAATGATCAAAAGTAGAGCATTGATGACATGGAGGCAGGAGAACTGCTTGAACCCGGGAGGCGGAGGTTGCAGTGAGCTGAGATTGTGCCACTGCACTCCAGCCTGGGTGACAGAGCGAGACCCTCTCTCAAAAAACAAAACCAAAACCAAAAAACAGAACTCTTTCTCTTCAGCATTGTGTTGAGAAAACTGGATAGCCCCGTGAAAAATAATGAAGTTGAACCCTTAGTGTATATTATCTACAAAAATTAACTCAAAACAGATCAAAGACTCTAAATTTGAGAACCAAAACTATAAAACTCTTAGAAGAAAACATAGGTGCAAATCTTCATGACCTTTGATTTGACACTGGATTCTTCAGTATGACACCAAAGGCAGAGGTAACAAGACAAAAATAAAAGATAAATTGGATTTGATTAAAATTGAAAATTTTTTGTGCATCAAAGGATACTATCTGTGAGAAAGAAAGACAACCCACAGAATGAGAGAAAATATTTGCAAATCACATGTCTTACAAGGGTATATACACAGAATATGTAAAGAACTCCTACAACTCAACAACAGAAGGCGAACTACCAAATTAAATAATGGGTGAGGACTTGAATAGTCATTTCTGCAAAGAAGTTAAGCAAATGGAAAATAAGCACGAAAAAGATGATTAACATTAAAATGCAAATCAAAACTCAATGAGATACCACTTCACAGCTACTAGGAAGACTGTAATCAAAAGGATGAAAAATAAGCATTGGCAAGGATGTGGAGAAATTGGAACCCTTGTACACTGCTAGTAGGAATGTAAAATGGTGTAGCTGCTGTAAAAACCTAACAGTTCCTTAAAAAGTTAAACATATAATTACCATATGACCCAGCACTTCATCTCCTCTGTATATACCCAGAAGATTTGAAAACAGAGACTGAAACAGATACTTGTATCCCAGTGTTCATTACAACATTATTTATGATATGCAAAAGGAGGAAGTAACTCAAATGTCCAACAGACAAATGGGTAAACAATATGTGAGTATAAACATACCATGGACTATCCATAAAAAGGAATGAAGTTCTGATACATGCTATAATATAAACAAACCTTGAAAACATTATGCTAATCAAAAAAAGTCAGTCACAAAAGGACAAATATTGTACGATTTCACTTACATCAAATATCTAGAGTTGTCAAATTCATAGAGACATAAAGTAGATTAGAGTTGACTGGAAGCTTTGGATGAGAAGAAAGTGGAGAGGAGAATGGAGAGTTATTGCTAGAGTTTCTCTTTGCAGTGATGAAAAGTTTTGGAAATAGGTGGTGGTGATGGTTTTACAGCACTGTGAATATAATTAATGCTACTGAATGGTACACTTTCAAAATAGTTAAAATGGCAACTTTGGTGTTATATACATTTCATTACGATAAAATTTACAACAAAAAGATAACTTTAATTCCTCTGTTTTTTCCTCACAGAATAAATTCAAATTACTTTATAATATATTCACTCTCAGCAGTTTTTAATTTCGATGTTATAGAAAGAGCCATTCACTGGTTATTTTGGCAGAAGATCTTTAAAATCCTAGTGAGCTGCCCTGATATCCTTTTAACAGCTGTAGTCCTTACAAAATTGCCCAATTTGTTCCTTTTAATGTTTTTGTATATTTTATATCAGCTTCTGAAAAGTATATCAAATTTTATTATCTTTGAGCAGTATACATCTGTCATATTTATAAATAGTCTGCAAAACAAACATTTAATTGAACTGAAATTTAACAATTCAGCTTTGGCTAACTGTATTATAATTAGAGTAATGATAATGTCTGTGACTTGCACATAGCAATCACAGAGAATAATTACTGGTAATTATGTTCAGGAAAAGTACTTGGCAACAGATATAAAAGAATATAGTAAGAAACCTAGATTTAAAGGCAAATTACTAGTTTTTTTTTTCTTTTCTTAAACTTTATATTTTTACTATTCTAAGCACAATACTTAACCTATGTCATTTAATGATTAAAGTGAAGAAAATATAGGAAATCAGTCATTACTGATTCATTGTGTTATATTACTAAATTTATAATTGTGGAAAAAACAAGAATGAACATGTTATTTTGAGTTAGAAAATGAATTCTGATTGTCTTGCTTAATAATTTAGATAATTTATTTAGCTTCTCTATGCATCTTTATCTGTTCTAATTGTACTTATTTAATAGAAAATTCATATGGGTCATATTTATGAGAAAATATATTTGAAAATGCTTCAAATTAGTTTTTACTCTAGAATTTCCCATAAGAAGACTTCAAGAAATAGCTTCTGTTAGAAACCTGCCATTAACTGTATAACA